CCTGTCGAGCACTTAGCCCCCCCTTCTCCCCCTTCCCTTCCCCGTTCTTTCTTTGCTTTCTGGGGCTTTCCTGAATGCAATACTCAGGATCACCCCTCTCTTTCTTGGGTGTGTCCCTGGACGATTGTTCGTAGCTGGGAACACCTTCCTTTCCTCTCCCTTTCTCTCCCTCTCTCTTTCTTTCCTTCTCTCTTTCCTCTCTTCTCCCTCTTCCCTGGGTGTCCCTGGATGCTTCGTCATAGCTGGGAGCCCTTCTTTTTGGTGTGTCCCTGGACGCATGTGTCGTAGCTGGGCGCACCTTTGTCTTCTTCTTTCTTTCCCTCTCTTTTCTTCCTCCCCCTGCCCCCTCTTTCCTCGCGCGCGGCGTGTTTACAAGCAAACTAGGCTTCTGCAACAGGTTTCTCTAATGAGGTTTGGTTTGTCATCTGTCTGTCCCTGTTCATTTGGTTCCCCTTTCATCGGCCCCCACAGACGGTTTTTTTCCTCTTTTCTTTCATGTCTTTCTGTCTTCATGTCTCTTCATCCTCATCCTTTCTTTCTCTTGCGTGCACTATCGTCCGGACCTTAGTTTGTACACATACACGCACGCGTACTTTACTTATACTGCGAAGTTCAGGTGGCCCAGATTCGTTATAATGAGGTTTGGCTCATCGGTTGTCCCTCTTCACTTGGTTCCTTTTCATCGGCAACCACACACACCTTTTCATTTTCATCTGTCCCTTTTGCGTGCACATGTGCCTACCTCCTTTCCGGGCAGGATGGAGGTCACACATGCCTCCCTTCGGGGAGGCGTGTGTGTGTAACCCTTGGAATCATAGGGATCCTTTTGGATTGGTCCGGTTTGCTTTTTCGCTTTGTGTTACAGCAGGGGGTAGCGGCAGATCACTTGGGACCGCTACCAACGAAGACACCCATTTGATCTGGTGATATCGGAGTTGGCCACTCCGACGTACCTGCCATTTTCCTTCCGTTCTGAATGGCATGAGGCTAAGCCAAGAACCTCGAAGTTTTGATGTTTTCTTTGAACTGCAGATGCGAGCGGAACGTCGTCAGCCTGTTCGTCCGTTGTTCGTTTTCTTCGTCTTTGGGCCATTTCTCCGTTTGAAGACCCCCAGGATTCGCTGGTTCCCTACCGATACTCTTAGGAAATGGAACCCTAGGCCGGCGTGTGGCACCGCAATCAAGTCAGTACGCATATCCATGAGTGTGTGTGCGCGCCCAGTTTGGGCTGGGATAGGTATGTATATAGTTGGATGGTTTGTAGACTTCATTGATGTTTATCAGCTTCCCATCAAGAAGCACCATTATCCACACTACTTGTAGTGGCAGTTTGGTTATTAAGCTTCCGTCGGTTGGCCTAGGTCTAGGTTTTACAGTCAGAATCACTGCAGGTTTGTTCCGGGGTAGTTCAATGCAGCCATTGGCCTACTCTCCAGCCATCTCCAGGTGTATATATACACACACGCACGTTTCCCCCTTGGTCTCTTCAAAGGACACCTACAGCCACCGCCCCAGCATTTTTCCAAACAGCTGCTTGCCGAGTCGCCCATCACAGGGCGACTACGTGGTCGCACAGAACAACATGTGCTTCGGCTGCTTCACTGCTTCGGCCACGGGGTCCTCGGCCATGGGGTCAACGCATCTTTGGAGTGCGTGGTGCGTTGAGAGATCAACGGCCAAGCTCTCTTTGCACAGGAAGGCTCCCGATTTCAAGGCTCTTTTTTCTTGTTCTGCAGAGTGCGGGACACCTTTCTAGGGCCACAGTCACAGGTACCGGATTGTTCTCACAGGGCAAAACAAGATTTCTTCTCTACTTCCATTCGGGGACCCTTGAGCATGGTTCTCATGAGCGATCGGTCAAGTTTGGTGTAGGCGAAGATCGGGAAGTTTGTGCATGCACGTTTGTGCCTTTTGAAGAACAACCAACTAAGCTGGCTGCCTGAGGCAGTTGTTTGTTATAAGACGATATAAGATTATGCGGTGGGTCTCATATGTTTTGTCCCCTCGAGCTCACTAAGCAGTACTCAGCTGCGGGTCAGACGGCCCTGACGCCTCTGAAATGAAAAAAGATGTGTTGGTAAGCAGTACTGAGCCTGGCAAAAGATCTGCTTTGGTAAGACCAAGTGCGTGAGGCAAGAGATGTACTTCCACTCCTCACCTCATCCCTTCAGAACAGGGGACCACGGGCGTCCAAAAACACGATAAAACTACCCAAAGCACATTCCAAAAAGAGAGTATAATTAAGAAATACAGTAAACACACCTGTCAAAAACATATATTATAATATAGTAGAACAACATATTCAGTAAAAGTACATTAAAAACATGTACCAAAACATGTGACAGTGAAATAAAAACAAACATATACATCAAAACACAGATCAAAGACTCTCAGATTCCGAGGCCCGGGCCGACAAAAACGGAAAACATCGATCGACCCACCCGGGCCCTGCGGCCGGAGCAGACACGGACCGGAGCATCTCGACTGGTCAACCCGAAGGCTACGCAGTTCTAGCAGTTAAAATGATATACAATACTGAAAAACAACAAGAATGGTATCGTTCTATGTTCGTGGTGTTGAGAAATGGTAGAAAAGGTTCATTGAGTATTCACCAAAGTGTGTCACAAGCATTCGCCAGTACACACGTTGAATAATTAACCTTTTTGCTTTCACTGCGCATTCGCTTCTAAGAGATACCGGGCCGTAAAGAAGCTCCGGTACCTCAATTTGTCTTGAACACTGCTGCACGGGCAACATGTGGATTGGCGGATGTGTGTGTCTAACAAGTTACCACCCAACAGAATGCAAAACATGTGAGAGCACGAAAGCACGGATGGTTTTTTGTCACGCAAAACGAAAGAAGACAGGACACACTGCCCAAACTGTTCGTGTTGATTGAGTTTTGTTCGAGTTAGCCGTTGTTCTACAGGCTAACTCAATCAAGACATGTGACATAAGTGGATGTTCACTGATGTTCACGTCGCCCAAACGACGTGTGCTTCGTTCGCGCGGCGTTTCCGCCCAGGTCAGTGAACGGCGAGATCATCGTGAAGAAGGGCACGCGCGGCATCGTGAGGCGGCGACCAACGCGGACCGCGCAGAATCCGGGAGGTCAGGCGGTTCGGTGTTGGGGGGTTTCAGGGGTTTGTTGGCAGACCTGAAACTTGGACTGACCCCATGGACGTCTAGCCGGTGGGGGAACATTAAAGAAACACTGTGACCCATGAACTCCGAGGTACCTGAGGCACGTCAGCTCAACTTAGTTTAGCCTCACATTCTGGAGAGTTTCAGATAGTTTTGTGATTTCTGGATTTGTTTGTCTCCCAGGGAACCTTTTCAAGAAGATGCAAAGAAGATACTTTGTTCCAAAGTATAGAACGTTGATAAAGAATTTAGACATATTCTGAATTAGATGTGCTTTGATCAACAGAAAAGATGTGGAACTAACAAACCTGGACCTGGATTTCACAAATTGTGTAGACGCCACCCTCATCCTGGGCCAGGCCCTTTTCATCCGGGCAGTTCAACTAAAACCATTTGTGACAATCTATAGAATGGGTTCAGTGGCACCGTGCACCACGTCCGTACAATGGATGTGTTGGCACAACACATGGCCACAGGGTTGTCATGCATATAAATATGTAAATCAAATATCTTCAAATCATATGACACCTGCTTCATACCTGCTTCATACCCGGGATGTCAATTGGATGTCACATCAGGCGCTCTATCTATGCGCTCTGTGATGCTCCGCTCTCACCCGTCTCAGGGGCCCCAGCGAGACGGACCCGCAGAACCGGGTCTCGGTGGCCTTTGACAAGCGGGAAAAGGTGGGCCTTCCGTTGGGAGGGGTGGACCACCGCTCGGTTGTGGGGACTGACAGAGACCTACTGCCAGGAGCGGCGCGCGGAGGGCACGCGTTTGGACCGTCTCAACAAGAGATGCAATTTGGACGGAAAAGCGATATGATTTCAATCTAGATGCTCCACACAGACATCCATAGACACGTTTTAAGTACCATATCAATCCGTATCATACCGTATCATAGTGTCATAGTGCTCAGACATGCTCAGACCAATCACCCTTCCATCTTGCAACTTGCACTGATTTCGCGATTCCATGTAGTGTTTGGATGTTTGTAGACATGCGTCCATCTATTTTGACGCCATGTCACCAGGCCGGCTATGCTCAGATCAACGTGGTGCACTTCGAGATCAAGGCGCGACGCTTTGATCCCGAGCAGTTGAACCCGGCAGACCGGCCAATATCGGGGAAGAAAAGCCCGATGCTTTGTGCCAATGTGTTGCAAATCATGTCATGAAGTGTATATGTTGCTTACTGTAGGCTTGTTTGCTTCCTATACTGTAATAACTGCCGGAATATACATGTATGTCCGATGCAGCATCGCCCAACCCGACCGTCTGGACCCGGGGGCCGGGCCCCGGTCCGTCTTCCCGGCCGCTCCGAGACGTGTAGGGAGGCGCCCGAAGCATCCGCGACGAGGGGGTTCAATCAGATTCAGACCATGTCAGACCCTAGAGATGAAGAGGTCACTAGGTCCAGTGATGGTTTCGGATATGTTGATGTTCAACCCTTACTTGGGGATGATTGGACCCTTTGACACCTATTTTTCAGGGTTGAAAACACCAGGAAAAGGTCAGAATTAGATTCGAGACCTGGAGCTCCAGCCGGACCATCTTCGCCAACAGACGCCGGATAGGTCAGACCTGGACGCTTTCGATTTGGAACATCGAACATGTATTGAGGTCCGCCTGAGGCCGTATTTACTATACGGATTGCTGTGACGTGACGTGTTGCTGGGACAACCCGAGCCTCACCTCACCCTCCGTGTTGTCCGGTGCCGTCGAAGGGTCGACTCGTCGTTCACAGCACAGGTCACCGATGCCCCGCTGCAGAAGGACCCCAACGTCTCAGAGTTGATTGAGAAGTGGCCTGGTGCTTCCAACTAACTGGCAGGGTGACTCCGCCACAGGGTGACGCCACCGTTCCTGCATCCAAAGACCACGACCGATCTCCAACCCTTCGAAGGCGTCGGTTCTCGAAGGTCCGGGCGTTCGACCGCCCGGCCGGCACTGCCGGGAGGTCGCGTTCGAAATCAGCGTGTGAAAGAGATAGGCGACCAAAGCCAATTGGTTGCAAGTCATAGACATCTTAAGACTTAAAAAGTATCACTCGGTTCGACTCAATCTATAGACCCTTGGTTCGACCTACAGACGACCCCCCCGACTCGAATGGATGATCTGAGGATCATGACTCCTCGGGATGTCCGAAGTAAGCAGGTGGTGCAGGGCAGCCCAGAGGGTGTGGCGGACCTCGGACCACACGGGTGGGGGAGACTGCATGGGGAAGTGGTCTGACTGTCCAAGCCATCCGAAAAAGACGGGGAAGGGGAAGTGGAATCCCTTTGGCTATGAACATGTGGGATGGTCCCACAACATGACTTGCAGCCATTTCTTTCGTTGCTGAAAACGGCCGTCAGTCGTCCTGTTCGCCCGGAGTCTTCCGACTCTGGCGGCCAGGAACGCCTTGGAGGAAGATTAGAAGCTGAGGAGGGGCGTTTCGGGTCGCGGCGTGAGGAAGAGTTCGAAGAGTTGGAAGCCCAGCTTTACAGCCTTTTGTGGACTGTTACTTGTATGTGTTTTAATTGCTGATATACATTGATGTTGACAGGGTGTTTAATTGATTAAGGAGTCACTCAAAGATGTTCCAATGGTCTGGTCTTTCTCACTGATTCTGGGATAAACCAAAAGTGAGTGACATGTAGCAGTTGAGATAAAATGGATGAAACTCAAGCCCCCCAAATGCGTCGCAAGATCGGCGCCATCGTTGCAAGCTGAGCGCCATCCTTGGATGGTGCTTCCTTCGCCTTTCGAAGGAAGATCTCCGAAACGAGCCTTTTCGTGAATCCCATATCTGGTTGAAACTACCGTACAGGGGTAGATCTTGAACCGAAGAGAACATCCAGCAACCTCCAACTGAACGCAACCTCCAACTCGATCTACTGCGATAGATGTTTTGCTGAATCGATCTACTGTGAACCGTGAATTCACTCAGTCGACTTGTTTCTATCAAGCCCCCCCAATGCCCGGTGCCAGCGCTGCAGGTTTTTGGGTGCTGGGCTCCGGCCGCGAATTCGCTGGGTGCTGAAGGGCCAGCCCGGCGCAGGAGAGCAGAGTGAGTCCTGGTAGATCATGTAGCCCAAACAGACTACACCTGACCGTATATAGACCCATTTGATTTGGAGTATGGCTGAATGACTCATGTAACTCGGGCCTTGGCAGATTTGGCAAACATGGAAGGTCTGAATCTGAGTTGTTCCTATAGCTCAAGGTTGACTTCACAAGGCAATGCACCACATCGAATCCATACATGTCCATTGGTATATAATATATGTCTGAGAGTATAATAGTTATTATGGCTTCTTTCCAAAGAAGTGCCAAGCAGGGACCCTGATTTTCACTGGCGCTTCGCCTGCCTCGGAGACGCCCCGCCCCGCCTAGCGGTTGCATGGGGCCCTGTGCAGTGCCCATCCAAAGACCTGAACACCTCGTTGAAAATGCTCCGAGACGCGCACGCGCGCGCGCGAAGAAGTTCCTAGCAGCGTCCTTGCTTCTAGTAGTACGGCCAGGAGCCCCTGGTAGTGTCCTTGCTCCTAGTAGCGATGCCAGGAGCCCCTAGTAGCGTCCTTGCTCCTATAGTAGATTTAGTATCCGCGTGACTTCCTCTTCGATTCGGGCTGTTTCATCGGCGGTTCCGCCCGGCAGGCCAGGTGGATCGCTCAGAAGTACATCGAGAACCCGCTGATCGTGAATGGAAAGAAGCACCTCGCTTCGTTATCCTGCGGAGGAGCGACATCAATAACCGCAGCGGCGATGGGAAGCCGATGGGATTTGATTGCGATGGGATGGTTTGACACGAAGTTTCGTAGCGACACTGCAGTAATATATTATATTAACTACTGGCTGTTGTTGGGTGAAACACCCAGACCATCCATGGGACTGGATAGTTTACGAAAGCCAGCCTTCGTAGAAGGCGCCAGCTGAGCTGTGCTTGGCGAACGAAGTGAGTAGTTAGGGGGTCTGGGGGGGAATGCCCGCAAAAGGTACACGTAAACTCGGCACATGCTGGGGGAGGAGGGTGGACGGATGGAAGGTTTTTTGAGGTTGTGTTGGAGGTGATTTTTGAGGGGTGGTGATGCAAGAAATGCAATTTGCATCATTTGCATCATCTGAATGGTAAGGTGTAGTTGGCACCTTGCCAGGTATAGATACCCAGGTAGCTATAGTGCAGTTAGCAGGTATAGTACTTCAAGTGCCCTTTCCATCAACCGCTCGATAACCTTTACACACGCACAGCAATCCGCAGCTTTGAAGTCTCATTCTTGCATTGAAGAACTTATATAGGTGTGTAAGAGGTATAGCGACATAGCATTTATACGGACCCAGGGTAGCTACAATTCTGTCGCCAGGTATCCCACTTCAATTTCCCTACCCTGGGTCCGCGCAACTCAGGGTATACCTGGCAACTGCCTTGTAGCTGCCCTGGGTCCGCGCGCGCGCGCGCCTAAATCACGGGCAGCCTCTTACACACCTATATAAGTTCAAAGCACGAATGAGACTTCAAAACTGCGGATTGCTGTGCATGTGTAAAGGTTATCGAGCGGTTGACGCAAAGGGAACTGGAAGTACTATACCTGGCAACTGAATTGTAGCTACCCTGGGTATCTATAGAGAGCTCGAAGTTACGCGGGTGTGGTTTTTACGTGCTTTTGTGGTGTTTTTCTTTGATTTTGTCGTGTTTAGTCAGAGTTTCCATGGTTATGGTCTAGATAAGTTTCAGAGTGGAGCTGGTACAATCTAGGTATGTGTATGTGTACGCATCTTGTGTGTGTTGAGACTATAGCCCGTTGCTGAATACGAGCACCAGTGCCTGTGACAGACGGCGCTCACGCTGCAGATTTTCTAGCCGAACTTGTGTGACGTCCCCGCATCCCCTGATAGACAGAACCTCTGCCAAGAACGTGGCAATATTGAGAAGCTGGGGTGCTTACACAGAGAACAAAGATAAATCGCGTATCATACAGTCATATACAGGGATACAGTGTTATACTGGGTATGTGCATAACTTCAGAGGCGTTCTGTCAGGCCTAATACAGCATTCCTACATAATGCTTACACTCAGATGGTCCGTGTAGCAGACGTAGCGGCGTTGTCTACAAGATAGTTGATGCCGAAGGCGTCGTTTTTCAACGTGCCCATGCTGGTCGCTTGCGAGAGCTTGAGCTGGACGATGTGACTGTAAGTGAAGCAGCTGGGCGCTTGCATGTGTAGGCATGGGACCCCGGCCTCTTGTACAACCGGTTCGCCTGGGCCGCTTTCTTGGCTGCAGCATGCGCGTTCAAGTGGCCCGTGTCCTTCTTCGATGTCAGGGCACGGAAGAGCTTGAGGCGTGTCGGTGGACTCAGTCTGCACATCTGAGAAGGCACGAAACCTGCAGCTGCAAGAGGTTATAGTATCAACGGAGCATGTTTCATTGGTTCATCTTGGACGACATAGGACAACCAAAGAACAACATAGAATGTAGAGTTATGGAGGCAAGAAGCAGCTGAGCTCCTCGAAGACGTTTGACCGGCGGTTGAGAAGACATCTCCCCCATGACCTCCTCAAGCTCATGTTCCAGAGTATCTTCCATATGAGACTGCGGTATAGCGTGTGGCTGAACCTGCTGTTTGCTGGAAAGGGCTACGGATAGAGAGACGGTTGCGTCCGCTGCAGGCAAAGGTCAACGCAAGCATTTCATCGTGTTTTGCGTGCGTGCGCAAATGATACGGGGAATGCTGTTTTTGCAACGGCCCGAAAACATGAAGCGCATGAACTGTCATTGCACACACATACGGCTTAGAGGTGCAGATCTGCAGTTGCCTCGTGTAGTTGCTAGAAAAGAACAATTGATGACACATATATGGCCACACACGCATGTCTATATAAATATGCGCAAAACAAAAGTTTCTATATACAGTATATACAAGTGCTTGCAGGAGCAGACAGCTGTGTCTTCAAACAGACGAGAGGAATATAAGAAGTTGTGGTGGAATTGCTACTCTTACACAGGTAGCTATAATGAAATCCATAATCTCGACTATCTCCAGCACCTGGGCCACTTCCAAAGGGGGGGACGCAAAAAAAAAATGCTCGTGGAATTGGCAATGAGTCCTCAATCTCCACCAGATCTCCCTCATAGAGGTGATGACCTGATGATGTATGATGGGATGTCGTGGACTTGCTGATAGATGACGGTTGATGGACTTGTGTGTGGGAATCATGAGAACTAGTATGTTTGAATAAGATTGATGAGAAATTTGACAGATTACAAGTCGACATTTTTGCTAGACAGGTTCTTCAAAACAACCAACATTTTCAAAAACGCGCAGAAAACCACAAATCACAAAAACGCGCAAAAACCACACCCGCATAACTTCGTTTTCTGTATCTATACCTGGCAAGGCGCCAGCTGAGTAAGAAGGGGGGTTCGAAGGGGTGGCCTGAGACAGCGCACTCGAAAGTAGGTGGTGTGTAGGGGTGCACGGAAGCAAGGTTTTGGAGGTGTTTTTTGAGATATTAAGAAGTGCAGTTGTCTTCAGTTGTCTTCGGTTGGTTGCAGTGCTTTACTTGGCAACTGAATTGTAGCTACCCTGGGTATACCTGGCAGCTGCCTTGTAGCTGCCCTGGGTCCGCGCGCGCGCGCGCCTAAATAGCCGGGAGCCAGCAAGGCGCGCGCGCGCGCGCGCGGACCCAGGGTAGGGAAATTGAAGTGGGATACCTGCCAACAGAATTGTAGCTACCCTGGGTCCGTATAAATGCTATGTTGCTATACCTCTTACACACCTATATAAGTTCAATGCAAGAATGAGACTTCAAAGCTGTGGATTGCTGTGCGTGTGTAAAGGTTATCGAGCGTTTGACGGAAAGGGAACTTGAAGTACTATACCTGGTAACTGAATTGTAGTTACCCTGGGCATCTATACCTGCGCCAGCTGAGTAAGAAGGGGGATTCGGGGGGGTGGTCTGAGAAAGCACACTCGAAAGTAAAAACGCTGGCCTTCGTTTTAAAGCTTCTCAGGTGTACGTAAATGTGTTTGGGTTTATTCAATCAGACTAACAGTCTTCAATGTAGTTGAATTGCTCCTTGCTTTGAATTGCAGCGTCTGGATGTTTGGACGCTTGGTGTTTGGCAAAAACCATCGGGTACACTACGGCACCAAACGCCACCAAATGGATCATTAAACGGCACCTCTCAACCTGGCTCCCGCACTCTTCCAACCCCATCCGGCTTCGCAAACCGGAAGAGTTACACGAACCTCATCGATGGGTCGTGCATGCTACCAGTCCCAGGAAGCAGACCGAAACTCCCTCCAGTCCCCGGGGTCCCTTCCGACCGATGGTGACCGAAGAAACCCCTTCCGACCGAGTTGGCGGACGTGCCCGATCGGCCCAAGTCCCGACAGGAAGTCCGGCAGGTGCGTCGCTTCGTCTCCTATTCGT